CAAGTTTGTTTATGGTTTATAGTAGTTTCTTTGTCATTTCCATCCTAAATTTTTAAAAAATTTATTTTCATTCTGATTTGAAAGGCAGAGGGACAGAGACAGAGAGAGAGAGATCTTCCATCCCCTGGTTCACTCCACAAATAGTCACACGGTGACAGGGAACCTGCTGAGGCCAGGACTGAGAGCTCAGTCCAGGTTTGATGTGAGTGACAGGAACTCAGCTGTTGGACTCATCACTGGTGCCCCAGCCCAAGGTCTGCATTAGCAGTTGGTTAGAATCGGGAACCAGTATGGAAGCAGGTGCTGCAGTGTGGGACGCCGTTTAACTGAGGCTGCCCAGGAAGAAGTTTCAAGGCAGATTTACCACTCTGAATGTAAAGGGTGTGATGCGACTTTGTCAGAACTCTAAAGCAGCCCTCATCATAGCCACCTTAAAACACTGAAAGGAATTTTCTTAAACTATGATCCTGTTTGTAATGTATAATTTATCAGACTGTTAACTAATCGTGGAGGGAAGGGACTTTTCCCTCACTCACTCCCCCTCCACTAGGGGGAATCAGATATAATCATGATTGTGTCAAAAGTTCAAAAGGGAAAATGGGAGGTAAAATGAGCTGAATTGGCACTTTTCCCTCAACGTTGTACCTGTAAGCTTGATATGTTGTTTCAGAGATTAACTTTATAGACTTCCGTGCCCAGAAGTATGAAAATTCTTAAGGAACTCTTTTCACAAGCTTGATCTTAACATATTGAATAAAGAGAGCAGTTAATCCCTTTTGTAAAGTAATTTGAGAGGAGGGGATTCTAAATGTAAAATCTCACCTGCAGAAAACACTCAGCTCTGTGAAGGCTTTTCTATCTTTAGACACTTACAAAGACTTAATATTTTAATGCGGAAGGGTGAACTTGGTTAAAAAGCCAATGGGTGAAATTAGAGAGAAATAATCCAGTGCTTTCTTTCTGGAATTATCATCCTGCTCTCCAGGGGACCTGATTTTATTCCCTGTGGGGAATGAGAATACCTCTCTGTACAACAAGCCAGCACCTCTAAATATAAGCTTGACTTTTAGTATAATAAGAGTCTTGTTAGGTGCAATTTTGCTCTTAGTCATGAATACAATGAACAAATGTTGTGGTTACCTGGGAAAGAAAATTCAAGTGCTTTAAACCTCTTTTGAGATTAGGTTTCGCGCTTGAAACCTATACACTGTTACGCCCAATAGCATCGGTAGAAGATTCCAGGCTGTAAGGTATACAACATAGAGGAGTTAATACACTTTGGAAAAAAATTGAGGGCACTACAAAATGGATTTAAGGTCCTGAATAAAGAGCTTTTCTTTTGCTGAATGACAACTATTTACCAGTGGCATTAGGTTTAACAAATGAGAGGAATGTTCCTTGGAGTGAATTTTACAGGACGGTGATGTCCCTTTGTACAAAGCAGGACACCTGTCTTGCCCTACAGCTGGCATTTTTTTCTTTTCAACTATAAAATATCTTGCAGTTCTGGAAATAAAGACTGAATCAAGGGACAAAATATATTGTCTAAAAGAATATATGGTGTTAAGTAGCATTTTTAGTAAGATACGGCATTGCGTTACCTTCGTGATGCTATATGCATATGCATTTTTTTAAAAGATATATTTATTTGTTTTGAAAGAGTTAGCAGGAGATATATCTTCCATCCACTCATTCACTCCCCAGATGGCTGCAATGGCCAGCACTGGGCTAGGCCAGAGCCAGGAGCTTCTTCCTGGTCTCCCACTTGAGTGGCAGGGGCCCAAACACTTGGGCCATCTTCTGCTGCTTTTCCTAGGCCATTGAGAAGGAGCTGGATTGGAAGTGGAGCAGCTGGGACATGAACCAGTGCCCATGTGGGATTCCAGCATCTCAGGCAGCTTAACCTGCACACAGCGATGACCCATGCATATGCATTTTAAAAAATTTTTTATGAAAACGCCAAACATACTTTGTTAGCACAACAAAGCAGTCATCACAAGACATGTCTGACACCTGTGTTGTAAGAGATTTCATTTTCTCCTCTTTATCCATTGACTGTGACATTGGTCAGTGCCCTCAGGGAAGCCTCATCCTGGGTACCTGCAGCCAGGCAGGGCAGGTGTGGCCAGCAGTCACCAAGAGGATGTGCCCTTCCACGCGGCAGTGATCCTGTCCCTTCCAGCAGCACAGGCAGCCCAGGCTTGCTTCCCTTGGGGCTTCCTCAGGCCCCGCCACCCTCCCCAGCTTCCTCTCCTTCTTCTCCTTAAATCTTTTGATAATAAAATGATGGCATTATACCAGTTCTAATAGTCTTTAGTCATAAATCTTTTTACTGGACTTGTTAGCATATTTTTTCTTCAGAGGGACTCACTAGAAGATAATACAAATGTTTCTTGTTTTTTACTTTTGGAAGTTGACAGAAGAGGTAACAATTAGTGTTTGCACTCTTGTAAAGGACGAAGTTGGGGGGGATGCAGGGTGTGGGGCAGGCATTTATCACAGCAGTTAAGTTGCTGCCTGGGACATCCACATCCCACGTGGGAGTTCCTCGTTTGAGTCTGGCTCCTGCACTTGTAATACAGCTTCCTGCTGATTTGTATCCTGGGAGTCAGATGATGGTTCAAGTACTTGGGTTCCCGCCACCCACATAGGAAACCCACATGTGTTCTGGGCTCCTGGCCTCAGCCTAGCTCAGCCTTGGCTGTTGGGGCATATTGGAAGTGAACAATGGGTAAAAGATTCTTTGTCTCTCTTTCTCACTCTGTGTGTGTGTGTGTGTGTGTGTATGTCCGTGTCCTTTTGCCTTTCAAAAGAAAAAAGAACAAAAAGTACATGTTTACCTTGTCCTCTATTTGGAAAACTCTGAATCTATGAGGATGACTTTGTTTCCTTTTTTTTAAAGATTTTATTTATTTGAGAGGTAGAGGGAGTGACAGAGAGAAAGGTCTTCCATCTGCTGGTTCACTCCCCAAATGGCCACAATGGCCCGAGCTGCGCCTATCTGAAACCAGGAACCAGGTGCTTCTTCCTGGTCTCCCATGTGGGTGCAGGAGCCCAAGCACTTGGGCCATCTTCTACTGCTTCCCCAGGCCATAGCAGAGAGCTAGATTGGAAGAGGAGCAGCCGGGACTAGAACCGGCGCCCATATGGAATGCTGCCACCACAGGCAGAGGATTAACTTAGTGAGCCACAGCGCCAGCCCCCCTTCATTTCCTTTTATGTTCCCTACCTCCCTCTCTCCTCCCCTTTTTCCTTCTTCCCTCCCTCCCTCTCTCCCTTCCTCTCCTTTTTTTTTTTTTTTTTTTTCTGTCAGGAAATGTTTTTTTGTTTGACTTTTTTTTTTTTTTTTTTTGAGATTTATTTTTTATTGTGAAAGAGTTACAAGAGGAAGAGACAGAGAGATCTTCCATCTGCTGGTTCACTCCCCAGATAGCCACAACAGCTAGGGCTGGACTAGGCCAAAGCCGGGAGCTTCACCAAGGTCTCCCACATGGGTGGCAGGGGCCACTTGGTTCATCTTCTGCTTTCCCAGGCCATTATCAGGGAGCTGGATAAGAAGTGGAGCAGCCAGATGCCAGTGTCACAGGCAGTGGCTTTACCTACTATGCCACAATGCTGAACCCTTTTTTTTGATTCTTAATTTCCTTCTAATGGTAAGAGAATGTGCATTGCAACACTTCCCTGGTTGTTGGCATTCTTTAGAAGGCCATTAAGAGTAATGCTTTACAGTGGAAGATGCCCCAAGTCCTTGGGTTCCGCACCCATGTGGGAGACCCAGAAGAAGCTCCTGGCTTCAGATCACACCATTGCAGGCATTTGAGGAGTGAACCAGCAGATGGAAGACCTCTCTCTCTCTCTCTCTGTCTCTTCTTCTCTGTTTAACTCTGACTTTCAAATAAATAAATACATCTTTAAAAAAAATAATGCTTTATAGCCAAACAAACAGAAGCAGGATGGGACAGGGAAAGAGGGGAGACACTGGTCAGTGGGTGCAACCTCACAGATGGTGAGCAGGTGTAAGTTCTAGTGTGCCGATGCATGGCCTGGTGACTGCAGACAAGGAAAAGAACTGTAAACGTTCTCACTCTTTTCTCTGATGTGATCACCCCACAATGTGTACGTGTATTGTGCCCCATAAATATATACTTACTTGTGACTTTTTTTAAGAAGTAAAACTTAAAGCCTTACTCGTGTCTTTTATTGTTCCGGCTCTAATCTAGTTCTAATAACAGTGTCTTGTATTTTGTGTAAAAATAGGTAGCATGTATTTTCTGTCAGAGCACTGTGTACCAAGGTACTAGCTGAGCTGGATAATAGAGCTAGCTTTGCTTACCCCTACTCACTGCAATAATAAGGGGGAAAATGACCTATATTTATGTGACTAACCTCAGAGTGATATCCAGAAGCATACATGTAATGGTATGTTTTAAAAGTTGTATTCTAGGGGCTGGCACTGTGGTGCAGTGGGTTAAAGCCCCAGCCTGCAGTGCCGGCATCCCATAAGGGCACTGGTTCAAGTCCTGGCTGCTCCACTTCTGATCCAGCTCTCTGCTATGGTCTGGGAAAGCAGTGGAAGATGGCCAAAGTGCTTGGATCCCTGCACCCATGTGGGAGACCTGGAAGAAGCTCCTGGCTCCTGGCTTCAGATCAGTGCTGCTCCGAGGGTTGCGGCCATTTGGGTGTGAACCAGTGGAATGGAAGACCTCTCTCTCTTTGGCTCTACCTCTCTCTGTAACTCTGTCTTTCAAATAAATAAAATTAAATTAAAAAAAAAAGTTGTATTCTAGTTTAAACGATACACTTTTTTTCCCTAAGTTTTGCTATAGGTAAAAATGTCTTACTAAGTTAATGATTTTCTAATCTAAGGTAGCCAATGATTTTCTAATCTAAGGTAGCCAGACTCACATTATCAATTTGACAGATTGCCCCTCTACCCCCAACCATTTTCTTTTGAAGTCTCCTTAACCTGTTTCAACTTAGGGGTGACTTTTTTGTTTCAGACAAATCTTCCAATTTTCAAGCTGAAGGAATCTACCGTTAGAAGAAGATACAGTGACTTTGAATGGCTGCGAAGTGAATTAGAAAGAGAGAGCAAGGTAAGAGTTGTTTTTAAGACAAAACATCTCAAGTTTTATTGTTGAAGACCTTTCAGGAAAATGATTTTGACCGAAGTAGGGTTAAAGCAGACACAGTTTCTTTTTTTCAAATCTTCAGTTATTTCATGGGTGTTGGGGAGGAGCTGTTGTAGTTTTTCCTTGGAACTCTTTTTGTTTTCTTCAGTGCCAACCAAGGCCTTTGTTAACCCACACTGGAGTGATACTTCTTTGAAGTTTCTTGCTTTACTTCCTTCCTTTCTGTCATCTTACCCCACCTCACCCTCTCTGCACCTCTGGCCAAGTTTCTCTTCTTCCATACATCTCATGTCAGTGTATTTCCAGTTTTGTTTTATTGACTCATCACAAGTATGCTTTTTCATTACCACACATGTACATGTGACAGTTTTCATGAAACAGTAATTACCTTTGTGTAATATAGGCAGATGTTCTTTAGATTAGCTTTTCCTCAGTGGTGGCCCTGACCTGCTAATAGGTTGTCACCTGTGGTCTAACAACACTGTTGGATTTCTTCTCTTAGAAGAAACTTTGATGGCTTTGGCTGCAAAATAAATTGAATGGAGTGAAGCCTCACCCTAAAATCCCTCATTTCAGCTCTGTTCCAGAGTGGCATCGCGACCTGGAGCCATGAAGGGCATGGGATGCTCAGAAGGATGAAAAGTGACTTTAGGACTAAAATGCAGTAGGCGCATACTGTGGGAGGCAGTAGGTGATAGCTCAGGTACTTGGGTCCCTGCTATCCATGTGGGGACCCAGGTTGAATTCTCAGCTCCTGGCTTCAGCCTGGCCCAACCCCGGCTGCTGTGAATGAGAGTATGTGTGTGTCTGTTTCTCTCACTGACAGCTCAACTGTTAGGCCAGGTGTCTACCCCGCAGTACCCATTTCAAGTGTATCATTCAGTGGTGTTTAGTGTATTCCCGGAGCTTGCAAACATCACTGTAATCAGTTGTAGAGCATTTTATCACCCTGTAGAAGAAGCCCTGTTCCCATTAGTTACTTCCAATTTCTTCCCAATTGCTCCTTACCAGCTCTCAGCATCCACTAACTGGCTTTCTCTGGACATATCATATAAATGGCATGTAGCAAATATTTTAGCTTATGTTTGTTGTTTGCTCAACTTTTTTTAAAATAACTGGAAAATCACAGGATATGTGATCCTTTGTGTGCAGTTTATCTCACTTTGCATGTTCCTGAGGATCAGCCTGTTGTAATATGTATCAGTACTTTTTGCACTGGTAAGTAACATCCTGTTGTGTGGATATACTATATTTTATCTGTCCATCATTTAGTGACCTTTTGGATTGTTACATTATATATATATATGTGTATATATGTATGTGTATATATATGTGTGTATATATATATGTATATATATATATAAATACAATACTCTGAAGAACATTTATGCACGTTTTTTTCTGGACCGGTTTTCATTGCTCTTAGGCATAACTCTTTTGCCAGGCTGTGTTCCAGAGCAGCGCACCAATTTCATTTCTACCAGCAGCGTGTGAGAGTCCCACTTTGGTACACCTTCTCTTCAGTACAGCTGTCCTAGTGCCTTGGAAATGCTGTCTTCATTTGTTGTTGGCTTTGATTTTCTTTGATGGCTAATGATGTGGATCATCTTTTCATGTACTTATTGGCCATTTGGGTGTCTTCTTTGGAGTAATGTTTATTCAAGTCCTTTGCCCATTTATTTTGCCATTTGCCTCTTTATTTGGAGTTGTACATAGAAAGTCAAAGGAACTCTCACAGGTCCAGGTCCTTTATCAGATACATTATTTGCCAAAATCTCCCAGTCTGTGGGTTATTTTTCACTTTCTTCATGGTGTCCTTTGAAGCACAGTGCTTCCCATTTAACAGACCAGGTAAGTATCTTGGGGACTGAACCTGTGAAAGTTGTACTCACGTTAGAGTATTGCCAAGGGCGGCAGCATCACGTTATCATATGTTAATACTTTTAACTGAGGTGGATCAGATCTGCTCTAAACTAGGTGACCTTGGCTGTCTTTACTGGGGAGTATAGTTCGGTCCCTCAACTTTTATTCAAGTGCTTTGCTTTCAGTGTATTAGGCTTACCAGGTGTCTTCCTGTCTCTCACACATGACTTAAAGTGGTGTAAGAATTCTAATGAGATCTTTTCAGACTATTTAAGCAAAAATAATTTAATGTTGAAGAGGATCTTTTTAGCGCTCATGATTTTTGTTGATTGTTACTCCTGTTGTATGCAGTCTTAGCATCCATTTGAAAGACTGTTTTGAATGTATCTTACCCACATAGTGATCTTTTTCCTAAATTTTCTGTCAATTTCTACCATGAGTTAATAATGGTCACTTATTTAGCACACCGATTCTAGAGTTTGTTTTGTTTTTTTAAATTTATTTGGGAGGTAGAGCTACAAACAGTGAGAGGGAGAGACAGAGATCTTCCATCTGCTGATTCACTCCCCAAATGGCTACAACAGCTGGAGCTGAACTGATCCGAAGCCAGGAGCTTCTTCCTGGTCATCCTCCACTGCTCTCCCAGGCCATAGGAGAGAGCTGGAGAGAAAGAGGAGCAGCCCGGACTAGAACTAGTAGCCATATGGGATGCAGGGGCGGCAGATGGAGGATTAATCTACTGCACCACAGCACTGGCCCCCTCTAGAGTCTTTTTTTTTTTTTTTAAGATTTATTTATTTTATTTGAAAGTCAGAGTTATACACACACATACACACACACACACACACACACACAGAGAGAGAGAGAGAGAGAGAGATATTGAGGTCCTCCATCCAATGGTTCACTCCACAAATGGCCGCAATGGCCGGAGCTGCGCCAGTCCGAAGCCAGGAGCCTCTTCCGGGTCTCCCACGTGGGTGGCAGGGGCCCAAGGACTTGGGTCATCTTCTACTGCTTTCCCAGCCATAGCAGAGAGCTGGATGGAAAGTGGAGCAGCCGGGTCTCGAACTGGCACCCATATGGGATGCCGGCGCTTCAGGCCAGGGCGTTAACCCACTGTGCCACAGCGTCGGCCCCATAGAGTCCTTTTTTATGTAGTAGCTTTTATATTATAGCTTTGTAGATAGAGGTGTTTTCTGCTGCCCACCAAGTAGTGATCAGTGGTCAGGATCCTTTTATTTCTCAATTGTAAGATCCCTGTAGATTTTAACACTCAACTAAACAATTGATGAATATTAAAGGAGACTTCAGGAAATAAAACCTTAGATGTTTATAATCACTGGACTCCTGGAGTAATAAATCTCAGAAGAGATTATAATGTCTAAGTCAGGCATCTGGTTTCATGTTGTCTTTGTTGTCATTTTTGTTGCTCGTTTGTATGCAGTTGAACTGCAATTTTCCTTTTTTTCTGTAAAATCATTGTTTTAGGGTAAATTTCTAGATACAAAAATTACAGCAAGAACTTAAAGTTTTTACTCTCTTGGAGTAGATATACTTTGTGTTATCAGTGAAAGAAATGTTTTAAATATATGTTTGTTATTTTCATTTCTCCTTGTTCTAATTGTTCACTTAAACCTTTTCTGTTTTGATATAAGGAGTCAGCTAAGTGGCTGGTCATTTAAGATATTTAAACTTCCGTTGTATGCTCACCTTTTCTTGGCCCATAAGAAACCTAAAACAGAGTCCTTGGTTTGAAGGTATTAGTAGGACACTTTCCCTCCAGAAGGCCTTTGAGGATGTCTGGAGACGTCTGTGGGGCAGAGGGCGGCAGGAGTGCAGCGGAGTATTCTGCAGTGCACTGGGCAGTCCCCAGCCCCTCGCCCCAGGACAGAGTCACCTGGCTTAAAACATCAGCCGTGCCGTGGTTGAGAACCCTAGGATGGAGAAGCCCAGTAACCTGTGAACTGCAGAGCTAAGTGCTGACTGAAATGAGTTGATCTTCAGATAGCTTCCAGAAGGGAAAGATCAGCGTGCCTTGGTCCTCTGTTGGATTTTGCAGGGGGTAATTTGGGTGTTCTGACAGTGAGGGAAGGAAAAAATGACAGGCTGTTAGGGAAAGATCCAGAATAGGGGATAGGAGAGGAAGTTGGAAGAGTGGTGACAAATGGGATTGTATGTTTTGTCATCACCTCAAGCACAAATCCGAAACTTGCAGATGGTTAGAGGCTGAAGAAAGTGCAGAACTCTGACCCACCCATGTCGCAGTGAGAACACACAGCGTTTTATTCGCGCGTGTCCTCAGTCCCGGAGGAGCACCAGCAGCCCTTCGTTTGAGTTTGTGAATACTGTTGCTTTGATGAGTCCAAGACAAGCTGTGGACCTAGCCTTTGAGGAGCTTTGACCCAGTGGGTTTTTCTGCATTTGTTTATCTTGCTTCGAAAATGCTGTCTTTTTTTCAGCGTTGTTTCGAAATTCATTTTCTTCTGTATTTGAACTAGTGTGAGAGTGCGCTAGCTTTCCTTCACGTTGTGCCCAGCCAACATAGTCAAGAATGTTCTTTCTGTCTTTTAGGTTGTAGTTCCCCCACTCCCTGGGAAAGCATTTTTGCGCCAACTTCCTTTTAGAGGAGATGACGGAATATTTGATGACAATTTTATTGAGGAAAGGAAGCAAGGACTGGAGCAGTTTATAAACAAGTAAGTGCTTTCTACTCTACAAGGATCAGTGTGAACAGAGTCTCGAAGTGACTACTGGTCATTCAGATGCTGTGCTCAGCTGTGAGCATGCCTTTCCTTTTGGCCATTTCCTAACTTTCAGAATTACTTAAAGTATCTGACAAGTTGAATATCATGTGATAAATATTAACACACCTGAGTAATTGAAATGAATAGCTTTGTGTTGGCCTAAGTTTTGTATTTATTTTTCTTGGGTAATTTATGCAAATTGCATTTAAAATTACAGCATTTAAAAAATAGTTTTACTTATGATTCTTTCTGATTTAAGGTATGTTCTAGCATGAACAATAAAGCTAACAATATACTTGCAATCATTTTGTTTGATTGCAGATCGAGGTTATTATCAGCACGTCTTGTGTAAAAGGTGTACATTTTTAATTTTCGCAGAAAATGTACTCTTTTGAAAATGTAAGAAGACTTAGGATTATTTGTCTTTCAGGTTAGAAACTCTTGATAAACCCAAGCCAGTATTTCTAGCTTTTAGTTCATCCCCACTTGAACTATTAGACCAAGGGACTTCAAAACACTTGGAGAAAATTGAATTAAAAGATAAGTTTACTTGGGTGCAAAGAAATTTGAAAGCTTTTTATTTTTAACCATAATATGCATTTGTCAGTGAACATTTTGAAGATACTTTCTACCTGTTTTTAAGAAACCAAAGTAACAGCCAATGTTACATCAAGAAAGGGCTCACTGTAATTGTACATTGGCCTTGTTTGACCAAGTAAAGTCAAAGCCTAGAGAATATTGTTGTGTGAGCCTATACTTAAATTTTTACTTAGTAATTTGAAGATCTGTGAGTGGTTCATAGAAGAAAAGGAGCTACACAAAACCTTTAACTCACTATTATCTATTGTAGCATACAATCTTCATTTGTCTTTTTGTGACCATATAGCTTCCTTTGGGGAAAGGCAATGTTATATTAGAAGTCTGGTGCCCAGTTTGCTTTTGTATTAGGCAGGGATGGAAACCTTTAAAAGCAAGTAAATATATTACACACACGCACACACACACACACGCACACACCTGGACGTTTGTGCCTGTATCTTAGTTGTTTAGGCTTTCACTAAGCTTCACTGTATTTCCAATTCCAGTCCTATATCCTCCTCTTTAAAATGAATTTTTAGAGTGTATTTCACTTTTAACATTACAATCCATTTAAATTTCTCGTGAATACATCAGCTAATGGTTAAGAAGCTAATTGGGTACACATGCCAGAAGCTATGCAAAGTTAATCTGCAATTAACTGTGTTCTGAATTACTCTTGTGAACCAAAGGAAAGCGCATATACCATTAGTTGAAGGAGCCTAGCTTTATAGGCAGCCCAGAACAACACTTGTTGGTAGTAAACTGTATATGTGTGTGTTTGGACCACTACTAGTGCTACCCCTTTTATAAACGCTTGTACTAAATTTGCACTTTTTATTCCCAGGGTCGCTGGTCATCCTCTGGCACAGAATGAACGTTGTCTTCACATGTTTTTACAGGATGAAATCATAGATAAAAGCTATACTCCCTCTAAAATAAGGCATGCCTGAAATTTGGTGAGAAGGGGCAAAAATGTGACCATTCGTGATTCGTGGGCACCAGTGAAGAAGTTCTAACTAACTTCAGCATGCTGCACAGAAACTGGTAGAACATGCCTTCAGTATACTAACACTCATGTGCTCAGTTTTGTTTCCTTTTGTTTTGGCAGTTGACAAGAAGTTAATTTGCTTTAGTGAAAATCCCTCATCCCCGCCTTTCTCTATAAATGACTCTCCCTCGCTGTTTTAATGTGGTGCACACTATAGCCTCACCAGCCTTCCAGTACAATCTGCAGTGTCCTAACTAAAGTTACTCTGTCTTATTTGCACAGTTTTTGTGTCATGTTTGCTTCTTGAATCTGATTAACTAGAATATTTTTCTCCCCCTTCTTAATGTGTGGTGTCACTTATTTATGTGTAGGAGCACTACACCATTTGTTTCCAGAACCAACCACGTGAGATACACATTTGTGTGCAAAAAGTTTCTTCCTTCAGGCCTGTAATACCCTTCACATGGAAGATTATGAGGGAAATCTTTATATTCTGTACAAAAATAAAATAAAATTTATATACTAAAATCATTTGTCTAAAAATTTAAGTTGTTTTCAAATAAAAATTAAAATGCATTTCTGACATGCACCGATTGTGTTGCCTTCGACTTTCCTCCCTCCTGGCTTTCCTACTTAACTCACTTGTTGAGAGGGATTATTTACTAATTATATACTCCTCATTCCTGTAACTCCATTCCTCTTTCAGCAGTGGTGATATCAAGTGTGCCTCCACCCTTTCAATGGGGTATTTTCTTTTAGACAAGAAAAAAAAAGTGATGCACTAAAACAAGCATTCCTTAAAGCTTCTGGGTTGTTAGGAAGCACTTTGTGCATTTGAAAAATAAAATCTCAAGCGATTCTTTCAAAGGCCTCTAAGATAGGTCCGCCCCATGCCTCCTTGTTTTCAGAAGAATTTTTTTTTTCCTGGTTTATCTGAGTGACTTGTTTAATCTTCACAGGGGTGGAGTAAGCCTTTCCTTAGCACATTTGTGCTTGCTTTAATTCAACGCAGGATTGTGGCACACCTTAACCTCTTTAGGGGAGAAGTGCTCTACCCTGACTAGGTCAGAAAATACGCGACTGCTGCTCCCTGACCTGTGCTGTTGCCAGCTCTTTGCAGCCGGGGCTGTGGTCTCCAGACGAGTCGGCACAACCCCCCGGCAAAGAGGGGGGATCCTGCACTTCAGAGGTGCCTCCTGGACACAGCCCCAGCCATTTGAGAGCAAACTGGTTTAGGCTGTGGCTCCCCAAGGGTGGAGATGGGAAGTCATGGGAAGAAGTCAGAGTTGCACTATAATTAGGCCCTTTGTTGCCCAAGCAGTATTTCACAGTTCCCGAATTCTGGGTGCTTCCGACACATGAAGAAGCACAAAGCTAAGCGGCATACTGATTGCATTGCAGTGAGCTGGAGAAATAAGCTCAGGGCTGGCCGTTTGCATGTGGGCATGGAGGATGGTAAGGCTGCTAGACGTGTAATTTCGCTAAAGCAGTGGTTCTCAACCAGGGATGAGTTTGCCGCTGGGGGACGTTCCACTGCGTCTGGAAATACATTGTCACAGCTGGGGAATGCTGCTGGGATCTGAGGTGGGAGGCAGAGATGCTGCTAAACCTCCCACAGTGTCCAGGACAGCCTCCCACGGCACAACAATGTCCATAGCGCCTGGGGGTCCTTTTTTTTTTTTTTTTTTTTTTTTTAACAGGCAAAGTGGACAGTGAGAAAGAAAGAAAGGTCTTCCTTTTCCGTTGGTTCACCCTCCAATGGCTGCTGCGGCCGGCGCACCGCCCTGATCCGATGGCAGGAGCCAGGTGCTTCTCCTGGTCTCCCATGGGGGTGCAGGGCCTAAACACCTGGGCCATCCTCCACTGCACTCCCGGGCCACAGCAGAGAGCTGGCCTGGAAGAGGGGCAACCGGGACAGAATCCGGCACCCCGACCAGGACTAGAACCCGGTGTGCCAGCGCCGCAAGGCGGAGGATTAGCCTAGTGAGCAGCAGCGCCGGCTGGGAGTTCTTTTGGTTTTGATCACTTGGAACAAAGCGAGAGAATGGGACTTAAATTCAGCAAAACGTTGCTTATTCCAGAGAATGTGTTTTTGCCTAATTTAGGGGAGGATGCTTTTCAGTGTTAAACTGAGACCATGGTCTATAGTAAAACTACACCTTTAACCTCTGAAGGAAAAATGCAGGTGCTCTTAACTGCACGCATGGTGGTGGGGTCGGGAAGGGGGAGGTTGGTGGTTAGAAGCCCTTAAGCTCCTGTAAGTCTGCCTGGGGCTGGCGTTGTGGCAGAGCAGGTAAAGCCGCCACCCTTGACGCTGGCATCCGTATGGCTGCTGGTTCGAGTACTGGCTGCTCCTCTTCCGATCCAGCTCCCTGCTGATGGCCAAAGTGCTTGGACCCCTGCACCCACATGGGAGACCCGGAAGAAGCTCCTGGTTCCTGGCTTCCAATCAGCTCAGCTCTAGCTGTTGCAGCTATTTGGGGAGTGAACCAATGGATGGAAGACCTCTCTCTGCCTCTCCTTCTCTCTGTAACTCTGACTTTCAAATCTTTAAAAAAAAAAAAAAATGGCCTGTTAACCTATTGTCATGGTAGTTTCTGGTACCTGGTTTCCTGCTCAGGAGGGCAGAAGAGGGGTTAAGGGCAGGGCATTTCCATGTTACTACATCCTATGGGTTTGCTTGAACTGTTGCCTCGATGTCCTTTGTTTTGGTTACAGGAGTGGGGAAGGGCATGCCCAATGAAAGCAGGAGGCTCCTGGCCCCTAGGCTTTTACAGGTGCGACACGTGTGTCTCCGTCTGCTTGCATACTGCGTGGCATGTGGGTTCAGCGCTCAGCAGATGCTGGCCGTGATGGGTACAACATGCCAGTGTTTGGACTGGGCGAGGAGTTAGAAACCAATTTAGGACAAGAGAATGTACGTCTTCAGTTTTCCCACTATGATCTCTGTCACAAGTTCGTGAAGTAGGTCGTGTTTTCCTTTACAGATGAGAAGACTGAGGCTCGCCATGGAACCAGGAGGCACACACTGGGTTTACATGAAAGATGCAAGACTCCAGGTTGTGCCTGGGCCCACTGGCTTTTAGCACAGTTACTGACTGAATGAAAGGGTGACTTTCCAATACCATTTCCCGCGTCTTCTGGCTAAGTGGAATGTGCTTTTGTCTCACTTTTTGAGTTTAGGTGCAGACAGCTCCTGAAGAGTGAAGAGCTAGCTTAATGAACTACCATCTTGTCCTAAATGTATCTGTGCACCTGTTGCTCTCCAAGACTGGGTCCGGGATGGTCGGTTTTCCTCCCTCCCCTCCCCCGCCCCCCTTCTCTCTTTCTCCTTTGTTTCTGAAATAGCCATTTGGGCACTTCAGCTTGGAGGCCTTTTGGTTTCCAAGAATTTGGTCAGATTTAATATTACTGGCTGTCAGTCATCACAAAAATAAACCAGGAAATTGAGAAAAAGGATTTGTCAGTTCTTGAGATGCTGTGTTTGTAAGTCGATCAGTAAGTGCAGCTTGCCATAGTCCAGCCTTGCTAAGGAAGTAAGACCTTGACTTGGGGCCAGGAACATCAACTCGGAAGTACAAAGGGAAGTTTGATGATGCTCTTTCCTGTCAGTGTGTGCCCTAAGTGGACGTGAGCCAGCAGCGCAGCCCGGCACCGTACATGCGCAGAGTGCTGACCCGCACGGAGAGGTCAGGACAGCGGTCCTCTCCACTCTGCCTGGCTTAGGACACTGTCACGGGGAAGACTCACTGATGGCACAGCTGGGCTGTGGCCAACCTGCCTGGGCATGGCATTCTATGGAGGGAAGAGGGTGACCATTCCAAGTGAACTCTTGCTACTTCAGCGCCTGCGCGGGTAGGGTTTAGAAGCTGGCCCCCTTGAGCTTACAGCAGGACAAAGACGGGCCCGTTGGAGAGTTGAAGCTGTAGGGCACACCATGCCAAAATCAAAAGGTGCAGCCAGCAACCGCCTACCAGGAGCTCAAGTTGCTGGAGCCAGAAACTGGGAATACTTTTCATGGAAGTGTGGGTGAATTGCTGGGGTGGAGCATGAGACATCCCTGGGGATTAATAGTCTTGGAGGAGCCGCCTCCCCCCCCCCCCCCCCGCCCGCCATGTGTTCAGAACACCCACACCAAAGCCTTACTACAAAAATTGGTGGGGGGGAACCCCAGTTGGCCGCAACGGCCAGAGCTGGGCCGACCCGAAGCCAGGAGCTTCCTCTGAGTCTTCCCACGCAGGTGCAGGGGCCCAGGGACTTGGGCCGTCTTCTGCTGCTTTCCCAGGCCACAGCGGAGAGCTGAATCGGAGTGAAGCAGCCAGGACTCACTGCAGGCGGCGGCTTTACCTGCTATGCCACAGCACATGCCGCTGCCTTCCTATGTTACCTGAGGAAAAGTCGCTAACAGCACAGATCTGGACTGTTGCAGCCTGGGAAGGGGTGAGCCAGAGGGGAAGCCGCTCCACTGCAAACACGTGGGAAGATCACGAGCTCACAGGAACGCTGGTGTGGGAGGCCCCGCCCCGGGCCTTAGCCCCGCCCCAGTGGGGCCCCAGGATGACGGTGGTAGATCACTGTTGCAGGGAACCCCAAGGTTAAGAAAGGCATATGGGAAAGCAATAGAGGATGGCCCAAGTCCTTGGCCCCTGCACCCACGTGGGAGACCCGGAAGAAGCTCCTGGCTCCTGGCTTCGGATCGGCGCAGCTCCAGCCTTTGTGGCCAACTGGGGAGTGAACCAGCCTCTGCTTCTCTGTGACTCTGCCTTTCAAGTAAATAAATAAATCTTTAAAAAGAAAAAAAAAAAAAGGCATAGCATGCATCTAACTGAGATAAGGAAAAATGGGATGGGGCTGGTGGAAGGGAAGTGAATGGCTGAGAACATTGACCAAGCCACAGGTTAGGGAAGCTGAGAGAGCACGAGAATCACGAATAGAAAAAAATACACCTATGCCCAGGGTGTT